AACAGAACAAACTGCTTCTTTTAATGCATACTGAAAGATTCAAAAACACCTTCTATAGTTCTGGCATTTGGTACTGGATGGTATAGACTCAAAATAATCTTAAATTTCTGAACAGATAAGTCATTCAGTTGCTGTAATATCCATATTTAATTTGTTCCAAGGCTTAGAAAATAATTCCATTTTTCAGTTATTACTTTCAGATATAACTGAGAAATACAAAACACTGTTGTTTTCTTAAAAACTGGCATCAAAGGCAATCTTTGTTGTGTTGTCATAAATTCTGCATGTCAGAAGGAATGTCTCACAGATAGTTTCTGGCAACATCTATAAAGCTAATTGACACAGGCTATAGTGAACAGCCTGTGTCAAATCTTGACTAAATATTATGCAATTTAAAAGTAACTGTGACCAGATTATAAATGTTACTTGTTTTTAATACCAATGTATATGTATTTTTCGCTTAAAATGTTTAATGGCACATTTTAAATACACACAGTAATGAATATAAATAAATAAAAGACCTTGGAAAAGAAATCAATCCTGAAACTTCCTTTGAGTATGCTGTCTCCAGATCTGTGTGTCTGACTGTCTGTCTACCCACCCACCCACCCGAGTGCTTGGCAGCCCCACATAACCAGTGACCACTGCACAGCACAGCACGGGGAGTCTACAGCAGCACAGCTCTAAAGTGGCCCACACTCTCCTCCATCCTGGAACTCCGCCCATCTGTGGCTGCCTTCTTCTTATAATTCGGGCCTCAGTGCAATTTATACCACTGCATTACTCCTTTCCCAAGCAGAAGACAGCCTCAAATCACCTCATTCCAATAGGTAAGACATGCTTCATACTGATCCTCAATCCTAGAAACGCTGTTCTAGAACACTTACACTAAAATACTCTGTAATATGCCTACAGCAGACCTTGGGCAGCTCCCTACAATAGTCAAACCTAAATGAGGAGCACGCAGCAGGTGACTTACTATTCCTTCCCTTGCTGGTTTCAGTTTTACAAATAACACACAAAACAGTTTTGATCATTATCAATATAGCTCTGAAAGGTACCTGTATCATGAAAACCAAATCATGTAGAAAGACACTCCTAGATCCTGAGGATCAAAATACATAATTCACAACAGGCGAAGCTGAATATATGCAGAAAATGGCATAACACGTACAATATATTTCAATCTAAATAGATTCAATAAATGTGTACACACACACATATATTACCAAAAAGTCTGGAAGACCATATAAGGAATGTTAATAACGGTTATCAGTGGTTAGTATGACTTGAGTAATTTAAATTTTTCTTAAACTGTTTTTTATTTTCTTTGTGTGTGTGTGTGTTTGTGTATTAACCTCTCAAAAGGACAAAGAAAGATGCTTTAGCATGTTTCCCCTTTAAGCATAGTTTTTTTTGCTCTACACCACTCATAAAATATCCTTAGCACTCTTTTTTCCCCCATTTCTTTAAGAGGTACTGAATTCTATCCTCCTTTCTGTTGAGAAAATGATATATAATCTACTTTTGTCAAGAGATTCTTTTTTTTTTTGGCTACTACTACTAGATTGACCCTTTTGGTGGAGGATTTCACATACTTTTACTCAACCTACATCATTTCAACCACAAATGCTTTCCTTCCCAGTAATTTTAAATACTAGAAGTTTCTAAGGTTATCACAGCAGACTGTAAGACCTCTACCACACAGTGCAAACCTGCGTATCTGCTATCTCTCAGGGACACATGGACTTAGCACGATTTCTCACTGAGTTCAGCTTCTACCCTCGCTTCCAGGACTATGACATTGTTCCTTCTGTTCATCTGGTCAATTTACCTCCTGCAGCCACTCAAGGCAGGAAAGATGCGACCCACAGGTTAGAAAACCAAAGAGAGCTGCATGTGAGTGGTGCAAGCATTCACACAATAGTCACTTCTTAGTCTTACAATCTTTGCGTGCAGGAAGAGTGAGATTAACACCACGTAGGCATGCTGGAGGTTCTGTAAGCATCTGGAAGGCTGGGACTGTGTCTTCTTCATACTTGCACTCCCAGATTAAGGGAATGTTCAGCACATAGTAGGCAACAACTGTCTGCTAAGTAAGTAAGGAAGGTCTGCTTTTCTTCCTTACTTCTGTTCTCTTGCTTTCCTTATTTCCTGCTGGCTGTGCACTTCAGAAATATTATCTGTAGCCATTAGGAGACATCAAAATCCTCTTGGGTAAAACTATACAGAAAATCTAGTCTGGGGTGAATTCATTCCTACTACCATAGTCCTGCTGCTGTTGGTGCCAACCACTCTCCTCCCTTTAGCAGGTTCTGACTGAGGAGTTCGGTGACTTTTTCCTTATTTCCTTCCACCTCCTAAGTGGCTGCAAGCAAGTCCTTTGGGGAGTAACTCAGTGTGCTTCACCATTCTTTACCCCTTCCACTACAATCAGGCTTCTTCCTTCATGTATAGAAAATGTTCAGAGAAGATTCCCATACTTCCCCCATAAATCTCTGGGGTGGATTTTGTAATCAAATGACGAGGACAGTGTCAAGAAAGATATTTAGATTTCCAAGATATTATACAAAAGGTCGAATGAGACTCAGATATTGTAAACTTCAATCTTCTCAAAGGCTTAGCTGGGTCAAAAAAAGGTTTACTTAATACTAAGCCTGAAGATTTTAAAATAATGTTATTTTCACTCCCCAAATTACTGTCTAACAACTTAAATGTTGCCAAAGAACCACATTGCATGTCCACATCTCCAACCTCAAAATCTTGTTTAAATATGCTGCATTCCTGCTAAAAAAAAAAACATTTAAGAGTAATATACAACTTCTGAAGAGAAAAGAAAATCACTGTTATTATAGTAAACGGTCTCCAAAGCATGTATTTCAAATGAAGTCCAACAAATAGAAAAACCACAGGATAAGTTTAGTATTTAATATGATATTTAAAAATTAAGTACAGTATTATTTACTTACTAAATAAAACTCAGTAAAATTCTTACAGTAATTCCCAGATTAAAGTTTTTGATTCTACACTAAATGAGTTTTAACACTAACTTCCACTATTTTACTAAACACTCAGCGTGTTTGGCCATAATCAGGTACTGACTGCCTAACTGTCCCTTTCCACCTCTCTGCCTTTGCTTGTACTGTTTCTTTTGAAAAGAGTATTCCTCCCACTCTAATGTGCAAAACCTCTCCACCTCCCAGGCTCCTCAGTATGCTTCAGAACAAGAAATCTTGGACTAGCATAGCATGAGTCCTAAATTACAGTACTAGCTTGGCCAGTTACTTACTATAGAACTTTTAACCAGTCATTAATATCCCCAGATTTTGGTATCTTATCTATAAAACAAAAGGAATTTAGCCAGGTGATTCCTATAATAAGAGAGAATAGGAAAAGCTCAAGTCTGGATTTATTAGGGGTGCCAGCCTGGAAAAATTGACCTTCCCTTCACCCAGGATCAAGGTAAAATTAACTTAGGAATAAATGTAGAAAACCCCAGTATGTTCTAGATACCAGGGTTGTTCTGCACCTGTTACTTTTGTCTAGTGAGGAGGCAGGGAAGTTGAGGAAGCCAGACAGAACAGTATGAAGTACAGACTTTATAAAGATGGCAAAGTAGAACCTCGCATGCTTGAAGGAATTGCCAATCCAATCTAGTCAGTAACCTGATCAGAAAACAAAAACCTCCCTGTGGGTTCACTGGAGACACCTGGAAAGACCAAAAGTCCACTTGTGCAAGGGGCACAATCTTCTATTTTGCAACTGCCACCAAACAGGTAAGTTTCTACATCCTTGCACATTAAATACATAATCTCAGTCTGTGGTCATTTGCTTTGTATGATTCGAACACTACCTTCACCTTCACCAAGTTCCACGATTCTTCTAACTTGACCTTCCAATCCTGACCTTCACAGAACTTACAGCAGTTGCTATCAATGCATCATTAGTTTCCTTCAAAGTGCTCATAAATGGAAAAATCCTTATATATAAATATCCCTTTCCCCAATTACACAATTTTACTTTAAGAGTCTAATATCTAAGATGAGCAATGATCAAACTTTTATCAAATAAATTAATCCTTGCCCTCATACCTTCTACATAGCACACAAAAATAATTATTAGATGAAAATAACAATTTTTAAACTTTAAAGGCTTACAATAAAGTTTTGTAACTTAGGTTTCTAATTTCATTGACCATAGTATTTCCCTATTCATTTGTGTTACTAGGATTCCACTGATAACCCAAGGCAAGAGAAAAGTCGAGACTGGCTAAGCAGGCATTCCATTAATAAATATATCCATTACTTGGCCCCATACAAAAGGATAACGATGACTGATGGCCACATGGTAATTCTCTGACACAGGTACCTTCTGCCCTGAGTGCCAAAGAGTTCAGGTGAAATGATGGTCAGGGTATTTTTGGCACTAAAAATGTTCTGAGATAGGATATTTAAAAATAAAGAAGTAAAAATAAATAGCTATTCTCTACTGTTTAGAAGAAATCATATCCTAATTCTGCATAAAACATAACCTTCTCCAGCTATGCCTTCATGCATTAATACTCCCTAATAATATCAACATTTGTGAGTAACTGTAATAATGAAACATTTGGAAGATTCTCAACCAAAAAGGAACTATGTGACATTGTACACCTTCAAAGTGTCAAACGCTGCTGAAGTGGTAGACTGAATGTTGGGCTTCTGCTCTTTCAGGGTGTGTGAAAACACTACTCTCATAAAAGCATGCAATGAGAGGAGACATTCAAAATGAGCTGCAATGTGCAGAATGGAAAGCTATTAAGTGCACATTCACTTATATAGGACACACAAGAAAAGCTTTAGAAAGCACAGAAACACCTAACAGCCATGAAAAAAACAACTTACCTAAGAAAAAAATTGGCCATGACAGATTCAAAACTATTAGTGATTAGAGTACAAAGAACAGAACAAAACTTCAAAATAGCACATGACAGGAGAGGAGGATAAGAACATGATACTTACAGGAATTCTTCTCCAGGGTGTTTGGGTATATTTATCAGCATATGTGCATTTTTCCTCCTTTGATTTTTGGTGGCAGTTACATCGGGTTGCCTGAACAAAACCACAAATTTTTACACTGGTTTGTGTACATACAAACACAAAGGTAACTAGGGGGTTTCTTGGGGAATACAAAACCAAATCAATCAAAAGGTCACACATTGCAACACAGTTCTAGCTACTTATATGACACAAGTGTCTACAGCAAACCTTAAGGTCTATAAAGTTGTCCAGCATCTTATTCGGGGCCTAGGTCTGAGAACAAGTCAGTAAGGCTAGAATTTTAAATAACACAAACTGCCTCTGGAGGAAATCTCTTAAACCATCCATAAAACACAATATATATGATTTTATGTGTGTAAATATATATAGTATTAAGCACATGGATATAGAATATAAGTAGCCATATACAATATATAAAGAATGCAACAACAGTTACATTATTTTCCTAAATTATGATGGTGTTAAAGTCACTCCCACATAGTTTCCTAAATACATTTTTGATAGGACTCTACCGGCTATTAGATACCAACAGTCTCTTATGTCTGTTACCACATGCTGTGCTATGAGCACCTTTAATGATGTGTGTACTTTACTGTACTGGAGCATTTTGAAGGGTCTCTGGCCTGTGACAAGATCTATCATATGGACCATTTCAATTCACAGATTCTCTAGACATGATTTTACTTAAAGCAAAGCACACAGTTACACGAACACAATGCACCTATTGTATAAACCTGGGACTCAAAAAAGGTTGAAAAGAAGATAATTAGAATTTCCTGTTAGTGTGATGCTGGAACATAAACATATTATTTGATAAACAATCCCACAGAAGGCAAACACACTTTCTTACAGGAAAATCTATGAAATTCTTGATTACTACATCGAGGTAAAAGTATTTTCTACTTTCTTCAGGGCCAGGGATTTAGCTCAGTGGCTCTGCCACCTGCCTTGCAAGTGCAAGGTCCTGAGTTCAATCCCTGGTACCAAAAAAAAAAAAAAAAAACAACAAACAAAATTCTTTTTCAAGAATCAATTCCTATCAGATCATTCCAATTTCCTTATAAAAAATAAAATCTAATTATCTCTGTAAAACACATGTATTTCCTATTTCTAAGAAATGGGATAGTCACTGAAACAAAATTCACTACATAAGCCAGTCAACCTAAGAGTCTCTTAAAATGCACTGTAACAGAACTTAAATTTAAACATAGCTTGGAGGTACATAAAGAAAATATGAAACACTTATTGTAAAGTAAGCACACTACTTAGTCCATCCTGACTATAGCAACCCCAGAAATATTCTTTCTGTAGTATATGTGCTAACAAAAAGAAAATATTACAGCAAATATTTCAACTTTCCATTACTTGGAAAGCCTATTTTTTAGTGACATTTCCACAGATACAAAATGACTAAAATGACTACATGAATAATTCCCTCTCCATATGCTTGTTTTTATTGCTGTCAGATCTGTATTTGTGTTAAGATGCTCACTTTTTGTGTGGTCCCTTATTTAGGGAAGGGTGTCCTGTCTCTTATCCTAAAAATCCAGATCTTGGTAAATCTGAACCAAACTAGTTAATCCCACCCTCCATGTTTAGAAAGGCACAAGTAAATCAAATCTAGCCAATAAAACACAAGAAAAATCTAAGGGTATTTCTGAGACAGTGTTCCTTGATTTTAAAAACAGGTAAACTAGAGAAAACAAGCCTTTCACTGACCTTTGGTATTTCTGTATGAGAGAATGACAAGATGAGCTACAGCAGACATCTTGTAACTAATGACAAGGCAGCTAAGAGGATTTAGAAAAGCCAACCTAGAACTTTATCCACTGATCAAATGACCAAAAGCAACCATGGAAATGGATAGATCTTAAACACCTTCTTGTTATTTGAGTTTACTAATAGGGACTGAACCTAGGGCCTCTGCACTGAACTACATTCTCTGCCCTTTCAAAAATTTTTAAATTTTGAGACAAGGTCTCATTAAGTTGCCCAGGGCGGGCTCAAACTTGTGATCCTCTTGCCTCAGCCTCTCAGGGTGCTGTAATTACAGGCATGGACCACCGGGGCTGTTATTTTTTGTGCTATTCTTAAGGACTTTTATTTGAAACTTAACGCATCATAAGATATGCACTAATTTATTTTATACTGGGTGGTTTAGGGGAAGTCATTTAACAAAAGTGACTACCACATACCCAGGGGTAGCCTTTATGCAGTTCACGTACACAGTTCATTTAGCTATTCTAGTCCTATATGACCAGGACTATTTTTACTCTTCTCCACTTACAGAAAAAGTTTAGGAGAGGTTTGTAATTTCCCTAAGAGAACATGGCTATGAAGTTTCAAAGCCAGGACCTGAATACAAGTCTGGATGGATTATGCTTACAAATTATGGTGAGCCTACTTAACTTGAAATCCACTTTTTTAATTTCCCTTAAAGAAATTTCTACACTAGCAATCTCACAAGATTATTCTGAAAACTCAATGAGCAAATGTATTTAAATTAACTAAATTTTCTTCTCCCTGAAAACTGGCTGAGTTCTTATCTTTGGCTTTGCAGCATAAAATTAGGTCTTGTTATCTTCCATTTTAATTTATATGTGGTAGACCCTCAATTTACAGCACTAGGCTATTCCTTATTTGGATTCTTAAAGTTTCTTTGTGCCTTCATTCACAATAACTGGTCTGTCTGCTCTATTTCTTCATGAGGTGGAGCTTTGTGATCTGCCCACATGACTCTGAGGGTCAGTATATTAAAGACTTTATATTCTAAGATTATTCTAAGATTAATATCTCTTATGGCTGAGAGCTTTGCTATTCCAAAATACGGTTTTTGATTTCCATGCATTATATTCTTTTTATACTCTTTGTATTATTGCAATCTAAATTACAATTGAGTTCAGGGCACTACATATGCTGTTTTCATATGGGACTAACATTTGAAACAGTAACAATTATAAAAAAAAAATAAAGATTCAAAGATGATGCCAAGGAATCCCTCAACATCATTCACAGAAAAGGAACACTGTCTTGAAGTCCCCTGCAGTTGCAGATACCCAGTGGCCTTCTGCTCACACAGAGAGAAAAATGTCCTGTTCTCAGCTCATGCCTGGCGCCATTTACCCTGCACCAATAAATGAATGTAAAGTGTTGAATTTTAAACCCCCAAAAGAGAAGTCACTAAAAATGGTCCAACAAAGAATTTTTCATGTTGAATATGTAATATTTAGATTGAAAGTTAAATCATATAATTCTATTAGAATACATATAATATAAATATAATCAGGCAATTTGAGAAGCCAAAAGTACAGACAAACTCTTAATTCTGGTTCAGAGTCTTATACAAATTAAAAAAAAAAGTTTGAAAAGCTTCCATTTTATATTTTACTCTGTAATACTTACAAGTTGATGTTCTAATAGTTGAATTTTTTCATCTTTTTTCTTTATTTCATCTTTAAGCTGTTTTATTTCATTTAATAAATCTTCATTCTGAAATTTAAAATTTAAGATGAGTCATTTAAAACACCAGAATGAAAAGCGTTAAATAAGAGATGAAGACCCAATGAAAACCCTCTATTTAAAAAAAAAAAATCTTCAAAAATTTCATTATCTAAAGGACTCTCACATGTAAACAATTAAAATAACTGAATAACAGCTAACATTCACTGAGTATCTTATTAAATGTCCCAACCTAAGTGCTTCCAGATATTTAAGCATTTGATGATGAAGGATTTATATTTCAAGGATACTACGAACCTGTTAAAACATAAAGATCATTTTTAATACCCCAACATAGCTACTTCTTACAAACATATTAACATAATTCATTCCACAATTTTTTTTGGTACCAGGAATCGAACTCGGGACCCTGTGCTTGTGAGGCAGGCAGTGGCACCACTAAATCCCTGGCCCCATACTAATATAATTAGAAAAATGTTCTGGTTGACTTATTGAAAAAATATAAAGATTTGTATTACAAATATTAAACTATGCGAAATATCTGATATGTTTAGTGAAGACGGAAAAATGGTATACTATCAGACACAGCCCTTAACCTTTCTGGGCAAATGAATAGCTGTATGTGTAAGGGTCCTAACAATGCCTACAGTCTTTGACTCAGTTATCCCACTTACAGGAAGCCATGACAAAGAAACAATCCCAAATATGACAAATTCTACAAGATATCTGAAAGTTTATAAGTTTTCAATAGTCTTATTGGGAGACAATTGAAATATAATGCAGTAACTTGATACAACAGTACATATTCATCATTCACGCAGGCACAGGTAAGTTCTGACAGTGTTACAGGAAATGGCCCCAAACTGAAATCAAAATACAGAGGTAAGAACATTAACAGCCAACAGGTTTATGGCACTTAGCAGATGGCAAGCACTGCACCAAGGACTTTACAAATAAACATAGGCCACAGAGGACACATCAGGAAATGGTTGACTCCAGTGGGTCTTAAATATTCACAGAAGGTTCTGAAGACAGAGATGTATGGTAGGCTTTAGATCTTTCAGTAAGAGAATCTAACAGTCATATAGTACAGATGTGAGGACAAGCACAGCACAGTTGGAACACTACAAAAACTGATGCTCCAGCACAAAGGCTATGGTAAATAAATAGTAGAGAGCAATTTGTAACAAAACGGGCAAAGGCAAAATCATGGAGGACCATGATTCTCAGCAGGGCTTTAGCTGGGGAGTGATAGATATGCATTCAAGATGGCATTGATAGCTGTCTGGAGGGAAAATTTGGCAACAATGGCAACAACACTTTGCCAGGAAGTTGTCATCAAGACACTGTAATATTCCAAACCAGGCGTGGTGGTGGATGCTTGTAATCCCAACACTCAGGAGGCACAGGCAGGAGGATTGCTCCGACTTCAAAGCTAGCCTAGGCTATACAGTGAGTTCAAGGCCAGCCTGAACTAATGGGAGAAGAGTCAAGATTGAGAGATTCTGGCAATTCGCTGCATGTGAGAGAAGAGCACAGAGGCACACTGAAGAGTAACTTCTAGTTTGAATGACATGGTGAATGATTATACCACCAAAATGAATGGAGAATACAGGAGGACAAATATGTCCAAAGAGAAATACGTGTGAGTTTTAAATATATGGTGGAGAGAACTGTGGATGGTATAATGGGTAACTCCTTCACTATGTATAAAAAAGAAAAATTTCAAACATTACCAATGTGAAATCATATACGAAATCATGAGAGTGTAAGTTCAAAGAGGACCGGACTAAAGATATATATTCAACATTGAAGGAAGAGGAGAAATCCAAAAAGAAAATGAAAGAAAATGTTTAAAGTTATGAGGGATTCCAGAAAGAAGTGACACAAAAGCTAAAGGATGAAGCTTTAAAGATAAAGAACATGCCTAATGTCTACAGATGTTCATTCTTCCAGGCTTCCCATGAAGTGGAATGGGGATTAAGGAGTCAGGAAAAAGCCTGATTTAATGAATTTAAGATAGCTGAGCAATATAAATATATATACTGATGATGATGAAGAGGAGAAAGTAGAAGCACACTAAAGACAGATGAGAAAAAACTAAGTGGATACTGCTAGGCCCTTAAGTAGCAGCAGAATATAAGAAGACAGAAGGGGTAGGCTTCTAGAGCAGAAAGGCTGCTTCTACCCTGTAAATGGAGCAAACTAAGAATGAGACAGACACAGGTGAAGTTAGCAGGCAAAAAAGATGGAATCAGAAGATCTTTGCTTGATAGGCAAAGACTATGTGCAGAGGTTTGAGAAGTGTGACCCAGTGAGCATGGGCCTTGAGAACAATCAAAGTTGGGAACAGCTCATCAAGGGAATGAGAAAGAACACCCTGAGATAAACACAAGGGTAGAGTAGAGGTGTGGAAGGTCCAGTGGTGATCCTAGTCCTAAATTTGAAATGGCACAAGTCATCACATTTGTATGATCTGAAAGTGTCCTGCTAAACCATCTTGGGTAAGAAAGTGATACAAGTCAGGAATTTGCTGATGAAAATGAAAGACTAGGATACCGGAGAGAAGAGACCATCTAAGCTATTGCATCTCAACTTGAATAAAAAGGAAGAAAGAACCAGGAATGCTCTACCTAGAAGGAAAGGGAATAGGGGCAAGAAATAAATATCATGTAGCAATATGTCTATCATGTAATATTAAATGTACAGATGAACTACAAAGAAACATGGAAAAACAATGAGACAATAGTGGTATAAAATGTTGGAACTGATTTTCTATTAAAAAAATGCTTTCACAAAAAATTGGAGGAAAAAGGTTAACTTTAAAAAAATGCCAGTCACAAGACCAAAAAACCCAGTACTTCAGAGATCATTAAATCAATTGTTCTCAAGGTTGTCAAACAAGTCTGTGTGTGAAGCTTTTTAAGAAAAGAGATGGTCTGCTGCAGACCTCCTGGTGTAGATTACTATTATACCAACAGTAGAGAAGCAGCTCAAAGACAGGAAGTGATTTGAAAACCATCACCATCAAGTGAAAAATCCACAAGTAGATAACCAGATGTGACTGCTTTGCTATATTCTTTTGAGTCTTTTATATACAACCTTGTTCCCAATAAGTCACTGTGCATTCTATGAGAAAATTATGCTCCTCTGACAAATTAATACCAGGCATGGATACTTAAATTGTTTTGAAAGTGACACCTGACACATCCAAGCAGAGTTTATATTTGCTTTAACAAGCTCTTCTCCCTCTGCCCAACATGACATGTCCCACAATAAAGGCTGATCTTTAAGCTTGAATTTCAAAATGAAAAAGATATATGCAACAGAATCTCAGCTGATCTACAGCCATTGCATAACATGAGCCAAACATAAACTTTTGTTATTTTAAACCACCAATGTTCTGAGGTTATGTTACTAGAGATGACTAACAAACAAACACTGGCTAGAATAGACTGAAAGAAAGATATAAAAGCCAGCAATAACTTTACTTGGAAATATTAAGTAAATTAAGAATATTTGTGTGTGCTTTCATAAAACATGTGCTTAAGAAATAATTGCAAAAATGCTGTCTTCAGTTAAAAACAGACCTAAATACACTGAAAATTATATTTAAAAAAAAACTTTCAATTACTCATTACAATACAATTCTACACAAGGAATGAAAACATTATGAACTACAAGCATGTACTAGTAAATTTTTAAACATTAAAAAAAAATCTGAATTCTGTAAGTATATATTTAAGCAAAAAAGAAATTAATCTCATCAGTATATTTCTCTAATGCTGGGTTTATACATGAAAAGTACTAATTACCCTTTTAATGTTTACTGGTAGCCTTAGTTTAAGAGCTGTTATTCATTATTATTAGTAATGTAAGCACCAGGAGCAACTAGGACAAATTATTACCCAACTGATTAATACAATAAAAGCATCACTGGGACATCATGATAAGAGCAAATCTGATTTCCCCAGCCAAAATAGCTTTAGGTTTTATTACCTTTATTAGTCAATGTTTTAATTGTTATTACATTATTTTAATAATAAGAATTCTGAAATCTCTAGTATCACTACTAAGTTATACCTTATACATCTCATCAGCTTCTTCTGGTTCTGGACTGGAGGGCAATGACAGCTGAACATCATGCAAGGACCCACTTCCATCATGCTGTCAGAAGAAAGAAAAACAAATGAATACAGGCATCCACTCCCACCTGAATTCACCTGAATTCACCTCAAACAAACTTCTTCTTGGCAAAGAAGAAATGGGAGGTAAAACTTTACATGTCTCCTTCTCATCTTTGCACTGGTAAAAAGAAATAACAAAAGAAGAGAAAAAAGGAAAGGCAAGAATAAGCAGTGGAAATAAATGACAGTACATGAGTAGGTAAAGGAAATAACTGAATGTTTTAGAGTTGGAATATATGGAAATTTTTTTAAGAATTGCAAGATTGCCTCAGTTAAGAAAAATGTAAAATGCGGGCCGGGGATTTAGCTCAGTGGCTTTGCTGGCTGCTGCGCAAGCGCAAGGACCTGAGTTCCATCCCCGGTACCAAAAAAAAAAAAAGTTGGAATATATGGAAATTTTTTTAAGAATTGCAAGATTGCCTCAGTTAAGAAAAATGTAAAATGCGGGCCGGGGATTTAGCTCAGTGGCTTTG